AGGTCAGGACGACGGTGAGCCTCCGCCTCCGTACACCGAGGGGTCCATCCCACTCCAGTCCTTTACATACGTCATGGCCGCCGCAGGAGGGGCTTCGAGTATCATCACACAGGTGCAGCAGACTGGTGGGCCACCGCTGAACTCCCTTGGAGATATCGGCGGAGATGAGCACATAACGCTGGATCTGCGTGGCATGAGATTCACTCTCTCCCGCGACGAGCTTCTCACATTGCCCGAGTTTGTTCTCCTGTCCCTGTTTCCCAACGGATTGCTGCCGGATGGACACATGGGCTCGTTCCACGAGGGAGACGTATACCCAGTCGACTATGATCCACTATCGCTCCAATACCTGCTAGATTTCTTCCGGGCTGTTGCTCAGTCAATCCCGTCTTCTTCACCTTCTCCAACTACATCGCCCACTGTTGAGGCGGCCGATCCCATCCCAAACCCAGCGCGGGACATGCTGCAGGATCGTGCTGGAATCATCGTCCTGCGCGAAGACCTAGATTTCTACGCCATCCCTCCAACTGCGGAGATTGAGCATGCTGAGATGATGGAGATCAAGCGAGCTGCCGGCCCGTGCCTTACTCAAGCAGGATGGGATCTTCTCAGGACTACGGAAAAGTGATGAGCCTGGATCCACAGAACAGCATCTCATTGAAATGCTAACTGCAGGGTAAGATTACGCATCTATAATTTTATATATATATATATATAAATCCTTTTTTAGCTTTTCTAACAGCGTCCGTTGCAGGGGATTCAACCATGATGACAGATGGGGTCATCGTGCCGGCGAGCCAAACAAGGCTGTGATATGTAGTCTGGCGCTGGCCAAGCTACGGACCGACATCAGAGGCGATATGGCCAATAGCAATGCTGTCGGCATGGCACAGAAGCTACTCCTGTTCTGGAGAAAACCAGCTCGGCGATGCTGGTGGGAAGGTGTCGAGCTTGAGAACGTCGAGGGGGTAAAAGGTAAATTAAAAGTCTGGATCCGGAGAGTGTGGACCCTAGAAATGGTATGTTTTGATCAAATCTGCATCCCCCTCCCTTTTTGGCATCGAGAACTCGCACAAGCTAACGGGACCAAATTGCACAGAGTGTTATCGGCCTCCGTTGATCAAAAGCAAACGCAAAAGAAAAATAGCAGGTTCAGTCTTTCATATTATCTCCGATATAATCAACTCCCTACTCGTACAGCCCCGACTCTGCTTTCCTTTCATCTGGACGAGAATCATCCCAGACCAATTTCTATGCTATGTCTTCGTTTCTTCTCCCTTGCCCCATTTAACCCTCCCTCAATTTGAACCTTTATCTCTTACTTTTCCTTTCCATATCCCCTCCCCTTTTTTGATCATTTGTTTCAGATCCCCAGGTGTTTTAGGGCGCAACTTACAGTCACTCTGTGCATTTTCTTCCCTCTCTTTTTCCCACTTGTTGCATCTGTCCATCCTCCCTCCTATTGTATGTAAAAACCACCGACTATACATAAGGATACCAAACTCCGTCTTCGTCTTCCTCGCCTTCCTCTCGATTCCTCTTTCTCTCTCCTTGTTATCCTTCCTTCCCGTCCTTATTGTTTTGAAGGAATTTATATCTGATAGCTTATGTAATCTCATCTAACTCCTTTAGGCTAGCGTGTCCCCTCTCATGTTTCTTTTTTATTCAAGCCAAAAAAAAAAAAAAAAAAAAAAAAAAAAAAAAAAAAAAAAAAAATGAAGCAACAAAAACTTGAAGAAGCAAAAAAAACGACTTCATGAAGCAGATAAAAGAGACTGCTGGATTTTTACTTCTCATCTTCTCGTCCTCTGCCCTCCTTTTCGTCTCCCGAGCGTTTTTGTAGCCAGCCTGTTGCGCGCTCCAGCGGCCGTCCCTGGCTTACCCAACACCCCCTAGACGCGTCTCTGTCGAAAAGCGCTGCCGCCGGCTCTTGGCAATGTCTATCGAGCTGCTCTGGTAAATCCCCAACGCCTACATTCAACGTCGACTACTTCACGATGCCGCCGTTGGGCTATGTGACCTCCTACGCTCCTCGACTGCGCCAGTATGCCAATTCGCTGATCTCGCCTGTTTTGCCTACTGCGCCGGTCGCTCCGCCAGTACGGACGACAAAGCGCGGGACTGTCGTGGTGAACTACGCGGAAAACGACTACGACGACGATGACTTCGAGGACAGCGAGGGTCCTCGACGGCCCACGGGGTTGCGCAGTTTACGACGCGATGAAATAACTCCTTACCTGGGGCCCGCGGGGGAGAAGCTAGGCAAGGAGATATCCACGCCTGTCAATGTCCAGGCCAACTACAGAGACTGGGTGGTACGGAAGTCTATCAAGGCAGGGTACGCCATATTCGAGTCATCGTGCTTTTTTTTTTTTTTTTTTTTTTTTTTGGTTCTCATTGACGAAGTTATAGTGCTAATTTTTGATTGCACAGGAGAGAGAGACACTTGAAGGCTCAGGTGCAACTACCAGTGAACCTTATACCCATCCGGATCGACCTTGAAGTTCCAGCGTTTCAACCTGTTGAACCATTCCCATTGCCGCGAAACTACCTGGAAGCTGGTATCAATCCTACCCTGCCTGCTTACAGAAAACCCGAGCCGGCGCCGCCTTATAGAATAAAGGATAGTTTTCTCTGGAATCTACACGAGGCCTTAACGACGCCAGAGGAGTTCGCATCGGTCTTTGTGCGCGAGTTAGACCTGCCAAATCCACAATCAACGGCTTTGGCGATATGTAACCAGATCCGCCAGCAGCTAGAAGAGTATGCTGGTGTTGCTATGCATCCCCTTTTCCAAACTGAAGCGGCCATGCCGAAACAGGTAGATACCGCGTCAAAGGTCACTGTCACAGCAGATCGGCCCATCACACCTATGCAAACTACTCCAGCAACTCCTGCCGCGCCTTTAGATACCACAAAATCCGGACAACAGAATGGGAGTGCTGTAGTGAGCCCATCTGAGGCCGACTCTCCCTATGACCCGGACGATGCCTATAGGTGCATTGTCGTTCTCAATATAAACCTCCACAATAAGCTTTACAGTGATAAGTTCGAGTGGTCTCTTTTGCATTCAAGAGGGATGGCTGAACAGTTTTCAAAGGTGACATGTGCAGACCTTGGCCTTGGTCCAGAGTGGGTAAGCTCAATAGCCCACGGGATTTACGAAGCTGTCTTAAAACTGAAGAAAGAGGCTTGCGAGAGCGGCGCTCTTCTCAGTGGTCATGGTGGTCTAGGGGCAGAAATCGACAATCAGGCTGCAAACGGCCAAGAAGCTGGCTGGAGATATGACCCTGACACCTTAGGAGACGAATGGGAAACTAGAATTGAGACTCTATCCAAGGAAGAGATTGAGAAGAGAGAAGGTGACCGAGAACGCCAGATCAGAAGACTTCGACGAGAGACGGCTAGGTTTTCGTCAACAGGTGCAGTTGCTGCATCGGCGCCGGAGCTATCCCGACAAGGCTCTGGTGGCTATTTCGATGTCCCAGACGGTACAGAGACCCCCATGGGCCGTGGAGAGAGAAGCAAGAGGAAACGTCGCCTTCGAAGCCCCAGCCCAACTGGTCGAAGTGGTACTCCTGCGGGCAGAGGCACACCAGACACTGGCGCAGCAGCTGGCTATGGAGGTGGAGGAGGGACCCTGGCTGACTGGGAGAGACAAGCGTGGCGCTGTTCGAATTGTCTTGTCTGGGGCTCTGCAGTGTGGGCTGTACGAGATGGGCCAGCAGGACCCAGGGTAGGTCTTTCTTCTTTCTTTAATACGCCAATTAGCCATTGGTATTAGTTCAAGGCTAACAACACTTTCAATTAGACCCTCTGTCACAACTGTGGATACCAGTACGAATGCAACAAGCAACTCCCAGAATGGCAAAGAGGACTTCATTATGTTGACCATTCAATCATACGCTAACGGTCTCCAAACGCTCCCTGTATCTATCAATTTTCATTGCCACCATCTACCTGATAGCAGCATAATCATATGTGATGATCGAGAAATATATACCCAAACCAAGCCCACGGTCTGGATACCACCTCCCACCTATCCCAGCTAACAAAGTCAACAAATGATCATTCTATTATGATCCTCTGCCATTGCCGGCATCTTCAATGCATCATTGGCGAATACCCCCTTTGTCGGCTTGTTTATTGGAAAGTCCCTACAGAAACTATCGACCGAATTCCCTTTCTTCTAAGCTCTCCCCTTATAACACTTGCTTTTTCTTTTTACTTTCCCTCTCTCCTTATCGATGTATTATGGGAACACGGTTATGCATTTGCCGGCTACAGAAGGATACGGTACAAAAAGGCGCAAGCTGGCTCCGTCTTTGCTTTCTCTTCTTAATTCAGATTCCCCTTTTTTCGCCCTTCCTATTCTTTCATTGTATTTGCTTGGGATGTTCGTAAGGAGTGAACGGCCTTACGTGGAGGTAGCGAATATCAATCCTCGTGAGAAATGTACTGCATTCATTCAATTGACTAGTTGCCAACTACCAAAACTACCAAAATCGTTCTCCAAGTCGTCGGCTAGGTCAGCCCCCTAGCCATCCACTCACTCCCTCTGCAGCCTATTCATCTCTGTCTCGGTCCTGGCAGTGTTTGCACCCACTCCTTCCAGTCCAGAGCCTGGGTTCTTCCGATGATGTTCACCCCCATGTCTCATTTCGGTCCTGGTCTCACCCTGCAATGGTTTTCCCATCCCCTTATTCACGTCCGCAGAGGTAGCTCCCATCAAAGTTGACTGGCAGAAGCACCACCTTCGTCATAACCACCCATGTCCTCTACATTCGGCCGGGGTTGAAATAAATTCTCACGGGGAGCAGTGCCTACAGGGACAGCCTGGGCGTGAGACTCCGGTACATTGTCTGCTGGAGATGCCTTGACCCCGGGTTTGTGCTGGTTGGGGTAGTAGAAGTTTAGCATGATTGATCGATTATACAACTGCATAGGGAACAGTAGGATTATATTCAAATACCTTTGGGCCACCTGGGTGTTCCTCGCGAGGCCTCGACGGCTGGAATTCTCCGGCTGGATGGCGGATGTCTGAGGACATTTTTTGATATCTAGAGAGTTGTAGCCGGTAGTTAACTGGTTATAGATGCGACTCGACTCAGAATATACCAAACAGAGAGAAGATAAATGTGATAATTCTCTATTCTATCCGTTCTACTCTTACGTAGACATCGCTCCCTTATATATTTGATAGACCTTTCGAAGTAGGTCGACTTTGACGTCACCTTGCGTGGCGACTAGCGTTCCCTGGGATGTTCTCCAGTATAAAAGCTGGCCAGAGACCTGGCAATGATGGAACCGGAGTCGCCTAACTTATTTGTTATAGATACTCGCTCGTTGATTCTCCACGAGAAGAACCAGGCATCGGTAAGCAGCCAGGCAGAGTGGGAAAGCCATGGGAAAAATGCCGTTCGCAGGCGATGGTGCAGCCATCTAGATAGATATTGGTGCAAGTACCCTTAACTGCCTGTTGACTAACTTTCCAGCTAGCCAACGTAGAACTAAAGTCGCGCGATGGATGAACCGCTATCCATGGCTCTGGAATAGATCCAACATATAAGCTTAAGAGGGGCTTTGGACAATAGCAAGCGAGCCTGCAGGTAACACGTATTCATTTTAAGGGGGAAAAAGAAAAAAAAAAAAATAGTTCTATAGGCCGCCTGTGTCTAAAATAACACTCCGTACAACTCCTCGTGAGAATGAAAGCAGCAGCAATAGTAGTAATACATTCCCGTCGTCAGTGAAAACAAGGCCGTGAAACTCGCATGGAGTAATTTCTATGTCATATCAAGGGCATATCAGTTTGTTTAACGCTTTTGCCGGTAAGTGAATAGAGGGATTGGGAAACAGCGTGACAAAAAAGAAAGCAAGCGAATGGAGGCTCGTCAATAGCCTGCTTTTTCAATATGTTAGACCAAAGATACCGAAGCAAACAGCAGCGTCACACAGGATGAATGGAAAAATGACCTACCCTATTCCGGATCCGTCATCAAGTGTCATGACACCAAATCTGGTCCATATTGACAATGGCTTCTTCTTGGGCTACTTGGATGCAGAACGAAGCCACGGCTGGATCAAGCTGCTTCATTGATGGCAAAAAGGAGCGAAAAAAAAAAAAAGAGAGAGAGAGAGAGAGGCAATTCAGGGACCAGCTGACTCCTTGCTAGGAAGTACTCTTTTTCTCTCAGGAGCATCTAGGGGTTCCTATATCTCGTATGTTAATGGATATCTCCGAGGATAGGGTAATAGTAAGGGTAGAAACATACAGACTGTGCTCGACGCTTCCTGTCCGGCTGTCCCGAGACCAAATCCGACGCACTCCTCCTACGAGCACCAGGACAAATCATGTTTGAATTCCCCCTAATTCTAATGCCGGCGTTGACGTCAACTTCAATCGGCCGTTGTCTGCCCGTCTCCCGGTCATCCAAGGCACCGGCGGACTTCAAGGCTGAGATGATAGCAGACGCTAGCTGAGCCGACTTGGCCTGTCGACGCTGCTGCTGCAGCTGCAGCTGCTGTATTGAAGATACTGGGTTCTGAGCATCTGGGTGACTGTCTTCGGAAGCTGAAGGGATAGTGACAGTGTTATTCTGCCCGTCGATAGAGATGGAAGTATCAATCTTGATGACAATGGGGGCCAGAGACAAGCTATCGTCTTCCTCGTCATCCTCAAATCCCCCCAGCAGCTCGGGTGTAGTGATGTTGCTGTGCACAGGTGTAGCAGCAGATGCGGTGGCAGCGTATGGTGGTGGTGGAGCAGCAGCAGCAGCAGTCTGCTTTTGAATACTAGCGAGGACTTCAGCCAGCTTGAGATTCTGATGAGCAAGGGAATCCGATGGTGGTAGCATCTTCTTTCTCTCTCCTTTCTCCTTTCTCTATGTCTCTCGCTTCTCTCTTCTTTGGCAGTGCCTCTGTAATTTGATATCTGGTGAAGGGGCAGGAATAACAACAGTCCAAAGTAGAGCGTTGCTTGCTATAGCGGACTGAGGAGGAAGAGAGAATACAGCAGAGGATATATATATGTATATGTATATATATTTGTAAACCCAGGCAGAGGAGAAGCGGAGTCTGTTGCTATAGCAAAGGGCTATAAAGAGGATCAATAGGGAATAGGGACGTTGTGTAGGTCGACAGTGTTCAATATTAAATAGTTCAAATGCAGGCAGGCTACAAGAAGTCCCTTTTGTTGACAGCCCACACCACACAAGCATGGGTCCCCTTATTATTATTACTATTTATCAGCATACATTATCAACTGTGTGGGCTAGCATATTGACATGCCTGCATCAATAGAAAAGAAGAAAACTGCCCTTCTTCTTCTTCTTCTTCTTCTTCTCCCCTGCAGCGCCCAAACATGCATCTTAATAACACTGCCTGGCTGGATCTCGATGTCAATAGGCTTACTAAGCATAACTCCTATTGTCGCCCCTTTTTGCTTTTTCGGGCCGTCAATAACTAAGAAGCCGCGACAATAGGAAAGAGACGATGAATAGCGAAAAAGCAAGTCAAGGTAAGGAAGTACGGAGTAAGTTGTTGGCAGGGCAGTTATAGCAGAGGCAGCGACGAACAGCTTGGGAGATGCTATACGTCGCGCTCGGCGTAGCTCTGGATCATGCCCTCTAGCGTCGGCTCGTACTCCTTTAGCACCACCTGGTCGCCCTCCAGGACGGTGTTGGCCTGCACAAAGACCTTGCGCGGGACCTTCTTCTGCAAGACGACCGGACGCACCTTGGTCCCCCACCACTCGTTGACGTGGGTGCTCTCGTCGTAGAGCGCCTTGCCGGCCGCGAAATCCGCTGTGCTCTTGTACACATGCAGCTTCTGGAGGTACCGCTCGACCGCCGGCCGGCCGTGGCTGAGGATCTTCGACCGGTCGAGGTGGATTTCCAAGTCCGAGAGGTCGTCCTTCGCGTGCACCAGGCGCACGAAGTCGTTGCCGGCCTCCAGGAAGACTCGCAGAATGCTGAACCGCGCTTGCATGTGTGCCTGGCCCCATTTCTTGCTGCTCGGGTCCCAGAACTCGAGGGCGACGACGCCGGCGCGTGCCATCTGCAGGTAGCTGGCGTACAGGACGTCGCCTGCCACGCCGTTGATGTCCTCCTTGCCATCGCCAAAGCCGAACAGCTGTAGAATGCCAAAGTCGCAGCCCAGAGCCATGGCCACGCACTCGGCCCGGCACTCCTCGTACGAAGAGGCAATCGACCCAAAGACGGAGCTCCAGGTTTGGCCGGGCTTGTACCAGGTCGAGATGGGCTTGCCATCAATCGGACTCACCGGTGGCTTGGTGACGTCGAAGTTGTATTTGCCGGGGCTGGTCTCCTGTAGTAGCTTGCCCGTGCCATGGCCGAGCAGCTCGTGGATACCTACCTGGACTTCAAACGCGGCGTCACGGTGTTCACGGAACAGGCTCAGGTCCTGCTCGCGGATAAAAGGGATAGGCTCGTTAGGTGCCTTTGCGCTTAGCACGTTGCCCAGGGACACGTTCTTGAACCCCAGGTTCTGGCGGATATCGTCGTAGTTGGGGATGTTAATACCAGCGGGGATACCGCTGCCTGCAAAGCTCATCACTTCGAGCGAGGTAAAGTCAGGGCTCAAGAAGGTCTGCTTCTCAAATTCCTTGCCCCAGGGCAGCTTGGGGATCATCTTCTCAGCATTCTCCACCAGCTTGCTGAACGCCTTGGTCCGCTCCAGGTTGACCTATATATATGTAATACGTAGCCGTCAGTAAACGAATAGTGTATTCGAACAATCACCGGGTAGATACGTTACCATTGCTGCAAAGCCTTCCCACTCGCCTCGAACGCCGTGAGGGTCGCGGTAGGTCTCGACAAAGCCAATGTCAGACTCTACCATGGGGCCAATATCCCGAATCCAGTAACGCTGGCTCTCCTTGTAAGCCTCTATCGACCCAGTCGTAAACGACTTGAAGTACTCCTCGTGCATCTTCTCCTGTATCTCGTTTGCCGAGTTCGCGCCGGCCTGCTTGATGCTCTCTGCAATCTTCTTCATGATCTCGGAATAGTCACCGTACACAAGCGTAAGCTTCTTGCCGGCAAGTTTGCCTTCAAGATCCCATCCCTCAACATCTCCAACATCTCTATCCTTGCCAGCCGGCGATGTCTCACCAGATGCAATCAACAGCTCAAAGTTACCCTCCTTGGTCTTTCCGAGTCTCGTGTTTTCCAGTAGGAGCTGCTTTTTCTCTAGGAAATCACCGATCAAAGTGATCTCTTCCTTAGTAATCGTTGGAGAATCCGGGTAATACGTCGTCATCTGGCCCTTTTCCGGGTATCCCAGATGCATCAGATCTGGCGAGGCAGTCTCATATATCCCACCTCCAGTATTGCACGCAAGCTCGAAAAGCTTCTTCGTCTCCGGCGAGCCCGAAGCCAGAGCCTCGAAAGCATCTGACGGGATCCTAGGGATAAACTTGGAGTCGCCAAATCCCTTGTAGTTTCCACAGTTCCCCAGGAACTGCGCGGCATACTCAAGGAAAAACTGCAGGTTCTCGGAGCTTGTGTTTGTCTTTGCCGCCAGCCCCTTCCAGTCTCCCTTGCAGGAGTTGTAGAGAGATATTATAAGGTCGTATATCGGTTCCGATTCGGGGGAGACTTGACGGAGTGTGATTCTGGTTCCGTGGAAAGCAGCCCTGCAAGCAACCAACTAGTCAGTCCTGCCTATGCAAGAATAAACAGATAGATAAATAGCCAGCAATAGAATAGCCGACTGCAAGCTCACCTGCTGATGAAATGAGAGTATCTTTTGAGCTTCTCGTCCTTCAGAGCCTCAAAATGAGGCCGTATCTCAAGCCTCACAATCGTCGGCGGAGAGTCGGCCAGGTACTGGTGCTTCGTCTGGGTATCCATAGCTCCGGCGTTCAGCTTGCTACCACTACTCAAGAGATGCCGATAGAGAGACTTTGGCGGTGATCGTAACGCTGAAGCTGAAGCTGAAGCTGGAGGGAAAACTGGAGGAAAAGCTGGAGGCGGACATTGGTTGCGGAGAAGGGCGAGGGAGAAGAAGCCGCTGGACGCTCTGCTGCAGCTGCGGCGAAGAAGAGGGGTCATCGAAGGCATGCAAGGAGGCCTTGCCTTGGTTGCGATGTACCGATTTGCTGCTTAATCTAACTAACGGCCTGAATAATTAGTTAACGCGCCAATCCGGTAGCCTGGGCTTCCTGTACCTTTTTTTTCTTTTTTCTTTTTTTCTTCCTTTTTCTTTCCGCCGGCAGATTTTCACTGAATAGCTATTTATTAAATACGGCATCTCATGGACTTTCTTATCGATAACTAACTAATGAGCTCCTTAGTTAACTGGTTATTTATGTAGCTCGCTAACTTCAGGAGAGTTGGTTCTAGTTATACACGAGGATTCATGTTACGGGAGATAGCAGGTATAGAATTCTCTAATCATGGAAGTAATTTTTTCGTCATAAAGCTATGTTCTCAAAGGTATTGAATGCGCTCGAGTCTAGAGCAAACTATCATACTTATCCAGCCCCTGCTTTTGCTGCTGGTTGGAGGTGGCAGCCGGAGGTGAGGAGGATAGATTAGAAAAGGCCGACGTGGTGTTAGCTGAGGTAGCCGAATGACTCCGTTGGAATTGGTTGTTGCTCTGAGGAGGCGGAGCGATGGTATACGGAGATAAGGGCGCCATGGTATTCATCTGACCTTGGCTCTGCCATAATAAGCTGCCACTGTTAACCGGCCTGCCACCGATGGTAGGAATGTTGAAGGAGTTAGTGCTAGAAGAATTAAACTGGCTAGAACCCTGCTGCGCACCGAAGCTGTTGTTTCCCATCATCATCATGCTGCCCTGAGGAGCTTTGGGAGAGAGAGGCTGGAGGGTGGCCATTGAAGAGAGTGATGAAGTGTTGCTCTTATGACCTGGCTGCAGCGTCGGGAACGAGTTAATAGTCGTGTCGGGTGTGATTGATCGCATGTTTGCGTTCAGTTTGGCTAGTCCACCGTTTCCGTGTCGTGCCGTAGCAGCAGCAGCAGCAGCAGCAGTGCTCCCACTAGACCATGAGAATTGAGGCACAGTTTCTGTCTTCGTAGCAGTCTGAGCCATGGTAGCAGGCGAATCACCCCAATCATCCCAAGAGTCTATGGAGGGGGATGACGCCTTGTTTTTGCCTAGCACAAGGCGCTCGAAGTCGGTTTTGTCGCCGCCAGCTTCTCCCCCGTTATTCAAAGGAGACATCCTCCCGGTTTGGAGTGCCGAATTCTTAGAAAACCCTCCCGCATCACCACCTGATGATAGTTGTTGCAGCTTCTTTGTCTGCTCTCGCTCAATCTTTGATGACAGCGATTTTATAAATTCCATGAAAGAGGAAAATTGCTGGACATTGAGAAGCGGACCAAGTGCAAAACTCCAGAGGATTGGAAGGACTTCGAGTGCTGCGAATTCTATATCGACTATGTGCCCTACCTGTTTAAAGACATTCAGGGTGGCAATCATTACCGCTGGTTCTTTAGTCTTGATTGCCTTTAGCAATGGAATAAGCTTCTCCTGGATGGTATATTTGTCAAGAATAGAGTTAGAGCTTGACTTGGCTGCTGTCTGGGTGTCTGTGATAATTCCTGAAAGGTCGTCGTCTGTCGACCGGCTGCTGGGCTTCGATGAGCCACCGCAGAGAACGCAAAATGCCTCCAAACCCCGGATTTTGATTGCAAGACTGCTAGTTCTGGCAAATACAGACGCTATGGGGGGAAATATTGAGTCTTTGACCGTTGTATAATCAAGCACCGGAAGCATTATTGGTAGACACTTCATAGATGCATCTACTAATGAGTGCGTTGGTGAATCCAATCCAAGAAGTATCAGTGGTATCACTTCTATGATAAGCGTCAGTCAAATGAAAACAGGTAATTCTGGTGAAATGAGTGACGAACCATCTTTGAAAACTTTGCCAGAGCAGTTGTCAACAAGGACTTGCGTGTTCTCCAAGAGAACCATAAGCCCGGCATCTTTGCTTGTATCTCTTTCTTGCAAAGCACCCTTACCACTAGGCGGGAGAAATATTTCCTTCAGACGGGGAAGAACTTTATCAGGAACTAGTCTTTGGCTTGACGGGACCCGTAAAAGGATTTTGAACACATTCTGAAGAATAAGCGGCAGTAATTCCCTATCTTTGCTTTCCTCAAGCAATGCTCCTAGAACCTTGCGCTCTAGTACCGAAGTTGGGAACTCCGGCAAAATTCTTGATAGCCCCCTCATAAACTGTGACTTTTCATTTTGTGTTTTGGCCGGGAAAGTGTCCAAGAATCGGATGGTGGAAACGAGAACGTTATCAAAGTATTGAGATTGCTGGAATTCACTGGCATTCATCCGTTGGGCTGGTCGCCGGGTGATAAGCTTTGGCAGGACATGGTTTGCGAGGTCCTTTGGTATTGGTCCGGAAGAGAGGAAGTAATTTGATTGGGAAGGGATGGTAGAAGAGGAGCTAAGTAGTTTTTTATATGTATTCGTACTGTTATTAGTTTTCAGGGGAGAGGTATGGGGGGAGTTGAAGAGGGCCACTATTATAAGCCCAAGAGAGAAGAGATCTGCTGACGAAGAGACATTGGAGTCCATAACAAAGTCAGGAGAGGTATAGTCCAAATCAAGCTGTACAGACCTGGGCAGCCGGGGGTCATAATACAAGGCTTCCGATAATGCAAGGGACGGTAGTGGCGATTGTGAATCGGGATTTGAAGGCCCGGCAAAGGATAGGCCAGATATCTTCCAATCTGACTTTGCGTTTATGTAAATGGCGTCGGGAGTGAGATTTCCGTGCACGATTTTGGCAGACTCATGCAGGAACTCTAGACCCTTGCCAATCTGAAGAAGTCCCTTTTGAATCTCAAGCTCGTCAATCTCGAGATCCCGCCTCCTTCTTGATCCGTCAGCCTCTTCAATCATGTGCCGACTGACTCTCCCTCCAACACGACTGGAGAGTTCCTGGTCAGTTTTTTCCTGTAGAAGGCCAGAGAGCGATGCTGTGACCGCTTCTGTGGCAAATATCAAGCCGCCATTTCTCGTATCTTCCACCGGTTCAATTATCTGAAGAATGGACGGATGTCTCAGGCGGGCAAGGTTGGCAGCCTCCCGCTTCAGCCTCTCGACGACTTCTTCATGGGCCTTCTTTATCGAGGTAGCATTTGACCGGGAAACCAGCCCTCCAGCCCGAGGATCCAAGGACTTCCGGTCAAATATGAATATGGAGACAGCTTTTCCAGAGTTCTTGTTCTTGCCGTCATAGACCTTCCAAGCACCGGAAATGAACGAAGGATTGGGTGAATACTGGTAGTTATTCGATATGTTCGATGAGAATGACTTCAAAGCTGACGAGAACATGGTGAATAGTCCAACTGGTGATTCACGCTGAATGTCGCATCAAGTAAAGCTGGCTCCCCAGGAACATGTTGGTATTACTAGTTATCAAAACTCCCCGGGGTATCTTGCATCAAGTATCTACTCTAGCACCTGCAAAGCAGATATCGCACCTCTTGGGTCCGGGATGGGAGTGGGTAACTAACTATGATGTGAGGTCCCCCTTGGGCATCAAGTTTGAACGTTGACGCGATAGTTAGCGCGATGATAATCCAGGCAACACAACTCCTCAAAAGTCAATTGATAGGGCCAGAACAAATGTTTCTTCATAAACGCCGAGAACGCTGGTCCTCACCCCCTGAAACCTGGCACTGTATACTCCGTATACTAAGGCTGTCCGTGTCTGCTGGTGAAAGCTGGGCTGAGATGCTCCCTGGCCGTCTCGCCAGCCGCCGCGCCGTCCGATCTTCCCCTTTCGGCCTCTCGCAAAACCTGAAACCTCCACGTGACCTTACACGTGACCGTCCAGTGTCTCGGCCGGAAGAAGGAAAAATAAAAGGCCGAGAGACCCACCCGACAGCCGGTCAGCAAGCCGCGATCCCGTGATCCGATTGGCGCATAGGGGGCCGCAAGCGAAACGACCGCGGTTAAGCGTCCGTTTCTCCTGCTCTCGCCTCTCAATAATGATTTCATCCTGAGACGTGCAAGATTACGTGAGTCACTTATTCCTGTTGAACATATATGAACCATTGAATCCCACGAAGATCTGTCTTCTCCTTTTTGATTGATTCTGTTGAATTCTGGTTTATCCTTGCAATTATGAAGTCATTCGTCCCGTTAAACCGAACTCTCAGCGCAATGACCACCCCTAAAAGCCCTGTCACGACCAGGTTCGGCAGATATCAGAGAAACTACAGTGCCAGCCGCTCGCGCAGTGATGGCCTCCCCGGCATTGACTACTCAAAGCTCACCATCACAAAGTCTGAATCTCCCAAGCCGCTGCAGCAGAACAAGGACCTGGTATTTGGAGCCACCTTCACCGGTATTTCGCCCAATTCTAGCCGAAGCTATACCCGGCATGAGTTATCGAACCCAATACTGACCAGCATACCCTAGATCATATGCTTCAGGTGAAATGGAACACCAAAGATGGATGGCTTACTCCAAAAATCATGCCATACCAGAATTTGAGTCTGGCTCCGTCCGCCTCTGTCTTCCATTATGCGTTTGAGTGCTTTGAGGGTATGAAGGCCTATAAAGCGAAAGATGGCTCTATTCGCTTGTTCAGACCTGACAAAAACATGGCCAGACTGAACAAGTCAACCCAGCGCATTGCACTTCCAACCTTTGACCCCGAAATTATGACGAAACTCATCGGTGACCTTGTCAAGCTGGACGGTAGATTCATCCCAAGGTATGTCCTTTTTTTTTTTTTTTTTCTTTGGTTTTTTTTTTGGGTTTTTTGTTACGTCTCTTTTTTAACTTTTGAGTTTCCACGCCCTATGTATGGTTTCCCTGCTAACCTGGTCAACTCTGCCAGCGAGCGGGGCTACTCTCTCTACCTGAGACCAACCGTTATTGGAACGCAGGAGTCTCTCGGAGTTGCTGCTCCCGGTTCCGCTCTTCTTTTTGTAATTGCCAGCCCTGTTGGCCCATACTACCCCACCGGCTTCAAGGCAGTTTCTCTTGAAGCCACTGACTATGCTGTTCGTGCATGGCCAGGTGGTGTCGGTGACAAGAAACTCGGTGCAAACTATGCCCCTTGCATTGTCCCACAGATGGAAGCTGGAACTCGTGGTTTCCAGCAGAATCTCTGGCTCTTCGGTGAGGAAGAGTATGTCACCGAAGTCGGTACTATGAATTTGTTCATCGCCATGAAGAACAAGGAAACTGGCAAAAGCGAGCTTTTGACCCCTCCATTGGATGGAACTATCCTTGAAGGTGTGACCAGAGACTCTGTCCTGGCTTTGGCAAGGGAGAGACTTGTCCCAAGAGGCTGGGGTGTGTCTGAGCGCAAAGTCACTATGAAGGAAATTTCTCAGGCGGCAAAGGATGGCAGACTCATCGAGGTCTTCGGTGCTGGCACCGCTGCCATTGTCAGCCCTGTCCGTGATATCAGCTGGAAAGGACAAAAGATCGAGTGTGGCTTGAAGCCGAATGAGGAGGCTGGCCAGGTCGCCCTTGAGATGAAGAACTGGATTGAGGAAATCCAGTATGGTGAGGTTGAGCACGAATGGAGGTAACTATATATTCCTGAAACTCTTCCCCATAGGGCCTTGACGATGAAACTAACTCATACGATTGTAGTGTCAAAGTGTAAAAAGCCTCCTCTAGGCTACGGCTACCAGTGCCTGTCACCTTTAAGCGGGGAATAAGATCCGCGGCTTAGCGTGCTTTCTTCTTTTCTCGTTCTTCCTTATGAGCTACGGCGTATTGCAAATAGATTTCCCGTCATATAGACAGATGGGATAGATATCTAAGTAGTTAGGCGATTTGATTTCTTGTTGCTTTACGGGAGGGATATTTCAGACTCAGTTACAGCCAGTCGGTACGGATAGACAGTCGATAAAAATAGTCTAACGAATAACACAGCAGTACGCATACAATGATTTGGTCCCTGTCAGTCAAGTTTGCAATCGCAATATATTATCCGTAGCCGGTCCCAACGGAGTTTCCGAAGCTCACACGCCTTTAATGAGACGAAGCTCGAAGCAACATGCCGTTCGGGGTCAGTTTTGATGTCTCGTGCGTGGGGGTTCAGGCTCAATTCTTGACGGCCCTCCAAAAAACTCTTCGGAGTCCTCGGTGTGTTATCCAAGGATACCAGACAAGTATACGAACAAGTCTGCCACGTTGGCGCCTTTGCCTTCAACCTGAGTGGCCTGTCGCTGGCCATCCCTGAAGATGAGATCTGTAGCAGGCCGGAAGCCGACGCCCATGAATGGCTGACTGCCTAATTAGCTTGTTAACTAACTAGCGCGCCAAGGTTTCTGGGGAGGCGTTGCTATTTTTAGCATCTTGACTCTGCTCCAACCAACGGATGAAATCGTTAACCAACCAGGCGGCTCCAGGTCTATTTTTAGATAAATTAAAGATATGCATAAAAATACTATTGTCACGACCAATTCTGCTGAAGACACTCACCATTCATGCGCGGCGAATCAAGCTCATTCAAACTAAGCATAAGTCAGCGAATCAGTGGCCAGTGTTTTGACGGTCAGTCTGGCTATTTTGTGCACCTTGGATACGATGTTCCTAGCTGTGCGTGCATCAGAAGTCTGTCTGTCACACTGTGGAAGGGAGCCGATGAAACGCGGAAGGAATACCTAGTTGTCGATAAGTCACGACATCCTCAGGACGGGCATACGTGTTGCCGCCGATGGGTCAACTGGTTCCGCACCCCTGTTTTATATGACGCCTGATGGAGCGGGATTCAATGGAAAGAGCTCGCTAGCGGGTACCCAGGGGATCTCACCGCATCTCCATCGAAGTGAAGTTTCAAGTTTCCATAACGAGGTAAAACCCATCAAAGTCAATATTGGTACCTCCACCATGTATATGGAGTACAAGTGCGGAACTGGAGGAGCCGGGTTTCGTATTCTCAAACTCATATTCACTTTTCGCTATCATGTTTGGTCGAATAGAAGTGACGATTGCTGCAAGGGAACCCTTCGCTTCAACCTCGATACAACCGCGCTATCATATCGGTTCTGGGCCAGGTCAACCGGACATAATCCCCGTCAGCACTTTTCGTTTCTTCAAATCACCCCATAAAGTACTCCAAGCCTTCGGCTTTCAGTGGGAGCTTTCATGGTTTGTATGGTCGAGGCGATTATATATACGAGAAAGTCATGTAAACCAACTCCAGGGTACTTGGAACATCCCTGATAGTTCCTAGTCAGCACGAACCACCTGGATTGAATCACATGAGACTAAAATAGTGCTTTTACAAGCTCACCTTGGGGGAAGTTGCAGGTGTTGCTGTTGGAGTCAAGCAAGGAGCAGGAGGTACTGGCGTCTGCTTCGGGGAAGTGCTGGCTTTGCTGGGTCAATGCCACCCATGAAGCAGCTCGAGCACCCTTTTTTTTCCGGGCTGGTAGCTGTGTGCGCCGTAAGGTAGTTTATCTCCAAGTGACGATGGCCCTGATGACGTTGGAGGGTGGTATTGAATGGGTGATTACGTGCCAAACTTTCGAAAACATGCGCCTTTGTGGCGTTTCAATCACCACAACATCCTGTAGCCTGAACCCTTCGTCTGCATCGTCTCATCTTGGCTACAGCTTTAATTAGCTTGAATCTGGACCGCAATGCTTACTTAGCCTTGGTGTTCGCAAAAACCCAGTTCTCCCGCCCGGATGCTGTTCCTGGTTGGTGGTACACATCGGCCCGCGCTCAACTTTAGCTTTCGGGTATCAATACAACGACATGATCTAACAAGTGAGCTGCTTGGCTGCTGAGTTTCTTGATCCGAAGGTTGATCCTCGTGATCGCTGCGTATGGGCCGGAGACAGAGTTTCAATGTGAACTTCTTCTATACTGGGGTTATGTAACTATGTACAAGCTAGGCAAAGATGGAGCCCCAAAAAAAAAAAAAAAAAAAAAAAAAAAAAAAAAAAAAAAAAAAATTGGAAGAAGAATTGACGAAAAAAAACATATCTTCATGGTGGCCAGCAGCTCTCTGCCTGGTAGACACCGATGACCCAATCCGTTAAAAAAAAAAAAAAAAAAAATTAACAACAAGGCTGCTCATAACGGCATTACAAAGTGACACCAGTGCTTCTCAAAAGACTTAGTATCGTTGCGACATTGAGCTGCTCCCCGGGGCGGTAGAAATTGGGTACAAGTCTGAGTAGTCGTAATGGTACATCGGGCCCGACATCTTCATGTATGGAGACATGGTTGCCGCGATGGTTGCAGTGGAAGTGACTGCCAGATCGGACGAGGAGAGGTAATCCACGTCAATGCCGCAGTATCTTTCTGGTCTGGGGGATACAAAGTATGGGGGCGATATTGAAGGCTCTGGACCATCGATCCCCAGCCGCTGGCCCTGGACACCATAGATATCCGGTATCACCCCTGGTAGAGGAGCACAGGAGTATGACGCAGATATAGAGCCATCTGAATACGTGCTATAGGGAGAATACGTGACCATGGGAGCCGAGGATATAGAGCTGACGCTTTCATACGACTGAGAATACAGAGCCGGTGGTGATTCCTGCGTCAGTTGAAAGTTGGTATGGGGCGAGTTTGACGATAGTCTCGGCCGTAGAACAGGCTTCAGTGACCGGGCTGTGTGTTGTTCGATGTTCTCAGATTCAGCTGCGTAGGGGTCATCCCTGACCGAACTGCTCTCGTCAGGCGAGTGTTCGGGAGAAGAGGTTGTCTGCCTGAGTTGGTCCTCTTGCCTCTTCTTTAGCTTCTTGCCTGTGGTTAGGCCCGTTAGCAAAAATCAACCTAGTTATTCAAATCAAATGTGTTGATATTGACGGAAGAGAGAGGTCTCACGGTAGTTCCGTTGAGCGATTCTGTTCTGGATCCGACGTCTCTCCGCAAGATCGGATATCTTCGCCCAATCCTCGTTCGGGTGGGCATGGGGACTAAATGCACTCCTGACGGAGAACTTTGATACATATGATTCCTGACAGTGAGGTGGTTGGTTGTTTTGGTAGTCGGCCATGGTGGTATCCCAACGCTGAACGGCCGTTCTTTGAGTGGCTAGTTGGTTATCTGGGTCTGTAACCAGCTGGCTAACAGGATGGGCTACTGGGCAATGATGCTTGGGACGATGTGAACGAGTAGTGTACGGAGTAATAGCAATTGTGAATATCTGGTTTCATAGGATGTTGGGACAGAGGATCGGCCAAGGAATATATATACCTACATGTACATATGGGCCGACTCCAGATGATCAATGGCGATCCTATATATAGATCTAGAGGCATCAAGCAGATGTATACGGAGCACCCTGGTCGAGCAAATAAAAAAAAACTGAAAGGTTAGCCGGAAGGCTGAACATCCTGCTCAACGGGAAGACCGCCCCGAGTCAATCATGACCAAGAAGGCGAACCAAGAGAGAAGCCTTGTCCTATCCATGGCCAGCCGGAATGGGTAGAGGCTGATATCTCCCTCAGAAGATCCGCGGACATGCGTGGGAACTGTTGCAGGGTCCAAAGATCTGGCTCGCCGTCCAGTTATTCAGCGATCAATCAGTTAACTCTAGCTAACCAGGCAGTTGGTCATTTGGTAAACTAACTAGTTAACTACACGGCCGGGGCAGTTAGTGTATCAACCAACTGGCCGGCCTACAGAGTGCCCCTGCTGGCTTTCTGGATAAGTTAGTTCACCCCCAAGCTGTGTTAACCAGTTTCCATGTAGATGCATGAAACTAACTAATTACCACTTGCTCGTGGGCCAACGAGGGCCAACCCTCAATATCAGGACGAATAGCTGTATTGCGGTGCTGAGCCACCTTGACGGTAGGTTTAATATCAACAAATACGGGTAGCAAAAGCTGGCAGCCTTTTCTTCAGGCGTGCCTATATCACCAAAAACCAGCCTCATCCCCCCAACCATCCAAGCAGGATGCCTTGCTGTAAGCCGCAATTCCTCGTTTTCCCAACCGCCCTGGCCGGCATCCAGCATTAAATGGAGATGCATGTAAAACATTATGGCGGAGGCTTTTTCCACCCTCAAGGCCTTTTCTCCTGATCGATATTTTCTCGTTTTATTTTTATTTTATTTATTTATTTTTGCAGTCCACAGCACCCTTGCTCTTCGACCTCGCATTTGGTCGTTTCACGAGCTGTGGAACACACAGGCAGACGTCGACTCTGTCTTGCAGAATTCTATCCCAAATCGGAGAAATATTAATACTATGGCTGGACGGGGTGCGCAGGGCGTGAAGTAGTTGGTCGATGCACTTGTTCTTGCTGGCGCGTTGCCTCCTAGGGGCCGAGATAAAAAGCAGAAGGGAGGGAGATTGATACAACCACACATCATGACTCCAGTCTAGGCTACAAGCCGATTCGTAAGTAGCATATCCGAAGATATAGCTCATTTCGTTCGTGGTGTGCACTATTTAAAGAAGCAAGTCAGATAGCCAGCTTGGACTGGCATGGAGAAGACGGGCCGCCTTTAGGGGGCAGATGCTATTGTCGATAGATTAAGTGGAAGGATAGGGAGAGTAGTTAGTGGAAGAAGTGGAAGGATAGGGATTAGTGGAAGATAAAAGATGTAGGCGAGCTGACGGCCTCGTCTGCAATTACATGCTTGTACTATGTTTCCGTATTTTCGGTTTTTTTTTTTTTTTTTTTTCCCGTTTTTTCCCTCCCATCTCTTGATATATTCACCTGTCCTATACCGTGCATATTTGACATGGTCATAAAAGCAGCATTGAACACATATAACTCCTCTCTCAATGCGTGAACGCGTATCAAATAAAATTGGAAGTGATGAAAAATAAGCAACTACCAGTCTCCACAAAGGGAACGGGTTCAAACGGTGATGATTCGCCAAGAGGAGGCCAGGGGATATTTCTGCCTGTAAAAAATATAAATTAGCATGGAGTCCATGTTAAAAAGGTATTATTTTGTTGATGATAATAACAAGCAATAAAAGGATGCTTTCAGGGAAAATAAACTTACTTCTATTTACTCGCCTTGTCTCCGTTCGTGTCCATCGGATCCGTGCCATTCGGTGCGACTACCCTCCGTCGACGGATTGGTGCCTTCTTACGTTGGTTGATGACGTTCAGGGTTGCGTCTCTATCTTCTTGGTCTTCTTCATTTTCGTCACAGCCCGGACCATTTCCTGCGCGCCCAGAATGGTATATTGTCGTTTCGTCTAGTTCGTTGATGTCTTCTGGTTTCATCCTCAGCCACTTCATCCTTGGTCCAGATTTGGCACGCTCTGACACCTTGAAACCGTATATCCGGGGCTCGTATATTTTGCCAGCACCTAGACCTGGAGCGATGTTGGATACATTGAAACCATTGAGTTGGATCGGCTGGTTTGGAGGCTGTGAAATGGTGGACCCTGATGGGCTGTTGAGAGAAGTACGTCTTGCATTGGCTCCTCCAGCCAAAGCACTAGCACCGGACTCCGCCTTGGCTGCAACATCAAGCTCTGGAAAGGTCATGAAGAATAAACACCCGAAAGTTGTGCCAAAAAAGGCTCCGTCAACGGACTGGAATCTGCTGTTGGGAGGAGTATAGATATCCTGACAGCTGGGGCAGTATAGCTTCACTGTGTCTCTCCCAGGAATATCTGAACGGCCAACTGGTAGAACCTTGCACCCGCCGCAGAGGACTCGTGGACAGGATCCAAAATGCTGCAGCTGGTATTTTTCGAACATCTGCTGCATCCCCTGCCGAGAGGTTATGTAGCGTTGATGAATTAGCCCGTATAGCAGTTCCCCGGAGCTTTCGATAACGCTCAAGTCGCTTGCAACACGATTGTGTCTCCTTTCGGACTTCTTGTAGTCTGGAGACCGTTCATCTCCCAGGACGATATCCTCGTCCTCCTCATATTCGTCTTCGTCCTCTTCATCGTCCTCGTCCGAATCAGGCTCCACATCCAAAATAAGCTCTAGAGCCTCCTTATACCGTGGTACTAGAGCTCCCAATCCGGTCAGGTTGAAGTCGTCTTCGATGAATTCTTCAGAGACCTCTGCAAAATATTCATGGCCCATTAACGAGCAGTATGATGAGATCCATGTCTCGCCCGCCCCGTCCGATATTAAAGACATGGTAGTAAACGCGGTTTTAAAAAGATGGCAGTAGAGGTTAAGGGTCAAAGGGTACCTATTTGATAGATATATTGCGTGGTTATGAGAAGGGGTGACCGGGTGTTGTGAAGGTGAGGTAGTAGCAATAATATTATTATTATTCAAACTGAGAGCGGTTGCTCCTTGCACGCGAAGGTGGGATTTCAGGATAATGGCAGCGTGAGAAGGGATGTAAAGGTCACAGCGAAAGCTCTAGGGAGAAACGACCATCATCATGCAGAGTGATAGGGAAGTGACTTTTGTTGATCTTCGCAAAAACCCCCCACCGTCAGGTCCGTTTTTCCGATTGCAAGTCGCAAGTAGAGCGTGGTCGCCGGGCCCCTTACTAGCAAGCGAAGCTATATAGAACAATGTTCCGGCACCGGGAAGACGGATAGAGGCCGAACTCGTAAAGGATGGTGGGATAAATGGAGGCTTATTTGTGGTAAGTATCGATAACGAGCGGTTGAGCTGGTTGCGACAGGGATCTCGATGCTTTCTGTGGCCGATGCGAGAGCGTGCGGTAGCGAGAGACAGGCGGCCTGGAGGTTCACGGTACGGCAGATTCGCGGCAACAACGGTCGAACGTCCGTCGCGAGAGAGGAAGCAGAGCGTCGGCTTCACGAATTCCTCGCTGATTGATTGATTTCTTAATGTTTTTCCTTTCAACTTTTTGTTTTCGCTTTTCGAAGGTCTGGGTCGTCATGTGATGTGATGAGTAAGCACTCCTAAAGCAGAAACAGAAGAAGTCGACCATATCTTATTTGATATTGATATGCTGCGATACTGGTAGCTGGTAGATGTAGTAGAGAGTAACGGCGGAGGGTGTGCATTAAGGTCTAGTGATATTGAGGGTAGCCTTTTTTTTTTTTTTTTTTCTCTTTTTAAAGATAAATTGCCATCTGGCTCTGTGTGGCAGTGAGATGTGTACACCTAAACATAATCAACACAAGAAAAGTACCTTCCACCTGTCAGGTCATCAGAAGAGGTCCTGTATAATCCTTGAAAACTCCCCTTCGTTTCCCAGCACGGGTATCGTCTCTCCGGCGCTGGGTAAGGTATGATCAGCGCCAGTAAAGCCTCCTCCGTTCATCCCATCAGACGCCGAAGTAGTTGTGATGTACCCATTATAATTTTCAATCGCTTCAAACAGATAAGTAAGCTCATTGCTCATTTGCACGCCGTTCATCGGGCTGCTCCCTAGTTCTCCATTCGTGTGTTGGTGTGTTCCGTAGGGTGAGATCCCATCAACCGAATGCCCTGCAAGCCCAGCCATGGCTACAGCCGCTGTGGAATGGGGGTCTGCCGACTCTGTAGGTAAAGTATGGGGTAGCAGGCCGAGCCTTTCCCCGACTTCACGCAGCCCCTTGATCATTTTCCATAGCCGCTTGGATATATAAGACTTGGTGCTGAATCCCTTGACAAGGTTGAGAGCCATGTGAAATTCTTCGGTTAGCTGGCGGTTGAACTTGACTGGGGCGTGAGATATGGCAAGGAAGAGAACGACAAGAGCTCCAACAAGGAAATAATTGAAGAAGATCTGCTGTGAACGGTAGATGTCGGTTGTCCGGTTGAGTTCACTCAAGACACGAATGGTATCTTTTGCAATTTCCACCACTGTCTGAGCATATGCCATATTCTCAATGATGCTAGTCGCAGAGTGCAACACCGGTCGGTATATAAGTATCCTCATATGATTTCCTCGGATATATAAAACGTAGCGTAGCCGTTGTACACTACGGTTGACGCCTTCCGAATTGCGGGAGTTATCAACCGAATAAAAGTTGAGGGGATCTGGGATGTGTTTCATCCACTCGACGATCTGATAGTCAAGGTAGCCCATCCTGTCCTTTTTGATGGTCAGGTCGGCCTTTGACCCAAAGCCGGAGTACCATACTTTGGAAGCGATGCGGCAGTAATGAACCATGGCCCTTAAGTAAGGGACACCCTCGTCCTTGATCGGGTTATTTTACAGTTAGTCACTCGGATTGAACTTACTCGGAGGGTCGAGAGAAAAAGGACAGGTTAACTCACTGGCTCGGGTAAGCATGGATCGATATCTTCATCCTGTATGACAAAGGGAAGGCCGGTTCCAAAGGCCCATCGTTTGTCCAAGGTGTATACAGACCAAAAAATTCGATAAACGGTGGTGATATCCTCAGGGGAGTGGAACATTTTCAAGACGGCATCCCGTCGATGTAGTCCCATTTCAATGCACATTCGAGCAGCAAGTCCAACCATCCGATACGCCAGGACTTCATCGTCCGTGTGAAAGTGATAGGTAGCCTGTGTTTGAGAGTTAATATTGGAATAGGGGGCGAGATAGGGGGAACGCATTCAAAAAAAAAAAAAAAAAAAAAAAAAAAAAAAAAAAAAAGTACTAACGACAAGGGCTAGGAGCTTAATCATCTTCAAGTCTCCCTGCTCCCAAAGGTTGGTCTCTATCTTGTCTTTGATACTGATGTACAGCCGAGTGCCTAGCTCGCTCTGTCCGTTCCCTTCAAGGAGAAGCGTGATGGCCAGTACTATCTTCAGGATCGCAGTATCGTCATCATTCAGACAATCAGCACTGGTCCTGGACCGTCCCGTACAGACATTCCGGTCAGCGGCTTCTAGGAAGGCGAAAAGGAGGTTTGTCTGCGTGATCATCTTTTCCACATCGAACATGGGGTACATCTGCCCTATTTCTTCCTCGTAGACTCTACACAACCGAATGGCCTCCTCCCGCTTGATTGCGAACAACGGGTCCTTGTTTGACGTTAGCGAGTTCGCATATAGCGCAGACGAATGGTATGGTGGTGTCTGTGTGGGCGTGGCGTCTTGTGCATTGTATATCTCCTGTGAGCCGTCATCTATATGGGTGATGCCCATGGTCTGGAGACTGGATTTGGCCACGGCGAAATTGAACGCGGTGCTAGTAGGCCCATGGAACCGGAGATGTTTCGTCCTCGGCTTTGGTATCAGGATATTCTGCGTCTCGAACGTGGGCTGGTGCCAGGATGTCGACCTCGACGCCTCACGGCTTAGCTGGGAGGCGTTGTCCACCGCGGGCGACTCGGTCTGTCGATGGAGGCCATTAATGCTCTCAAACAGGGTGTTGACCTGCTCCTGAAGCCGCTCGATACGATCTTTCATGGACCGGAACTCCCTACAGCACCGAGGACGTATGTATCAGCACGAAATTCGAGGGCAATCTTAGATAAAAATGAAGGAAAAAAAAATACTACATTATAAGATGTACTGAGCGAGCCTACTCGGAATCCTTGAAATTGCTTTGACAGCAGTTCGGTGAATAGAGACCTGCAGCCCGTTAGCATCCCTCCCGTCTCTTTCATAGACCGAAACCAGCTCTGGGAGGGCGGGTATAGAAAAGTACACTCGAGAGATAGATGTCCGCAGCGCTGGCAGGGCACCTGGCCGTTGCACTTGATCTTGCGCCTCTTGCACTCGTTGCTTTGCACCACCAGGTTAGCTGCTTGACCAGAAACAGATAAACAGGATGGATCAGACGCACCATGCTAGTGAGATGTATCTGTTCCTCTTCGCCCGCGTCTGCGTGCCCGTGGCAGGCTCTGCCTTGCGCTTCCCATCGTCCGTCGTTGCCGTCGTCGTCGCGGTGGGCGTCTGACCGTCGGTAGGAGATTTCGAGGACATCGTGCGAGCGTGTCTTCCTTGTCCCAGACAGGCTATCTCACTAGTCAGGTCCAGCGCATCCCAGGACTGGCCATATGCAGCGAGTCCGTCCGTCTCGCTGGCCGGAGAGAGAGAGCAGCAGCAATCTGGGGTAAACGTTTAGTGATGGCAGCTCGGCGCTCGCCTTAAAGCAACAAGCAAAGGGGAAAAGTGCGATGGGCTGGCAGCGTCCTCCCGGCGAGCGAGGGGCGGCGTCCCTTAGTCGCTTGGCTGGAGCTGCCTGGGCCCGAGCTATTCGTCGCTGGCTGCTGCTGGGCTGCTGCTCGTCCGCAGACCCGAGCAAGCTGGTGGTGCTGGTGCTGGTGCTGGAGCTGCCTTAATTATTATTATATATCGATTGCACAGAGCGCGGAGTCCTGGTGCGCGGTCACGATCGTCGGGTGGCTGCATATCTCCTCTTCTTCCTTTGCTGCGGCGATGACGGGCGCTGCTTCGCTTCGGTATCTCGCCCTTGACACGCTGGCCACGGACTGCGTTGCGCTCTTCCGTGAGTCCTGCTTCAAGGCCCAGCTGCCGGTCGTCCTGCCTCGAGGCCTTTTCCGAAACTACCGCGCTGTCTCCCGGTGGTTTGACCCTCGTCCTCCTCCTGTTGCTGGTGCTGGTGCTTCCTCCGCACCGGCGTCGAATCCCGGCCTCAACTACGCCTATCTCGAGCAGCACGGCGACTGCTACGTGCCATTGGAGCTGACTATACCCGGCGGACAGGATGGGATCGTCTTCGAGCGGGCTCACCGGCCGTTGAGCCTGTTTCTCCAGTGGACGCGGTCGGTACAGTCGACGTCGGCCGCAGAACCACAGGACGGGCCACGGCTATACCTCGCTCAATGCCAGCTCCTGGATCTACCGGGCTCGCTTCGGGATGACTTCCCGACTCCCTCATATGTCATGCAGGCCGGCAAGGGAGACATCTACGATACCAATATATGGATTGGGCTGGCTCCGACTTACACTCCTCTGCACCGCGACCCAAACCCGAACCTGTTCGTGCAGCTGGCCGGCTCAAAACATGTCAGGCTGCTAGCTCCAGATGTCGGACATGGGGTGTTTGCTCAAGTCAGGGAAACACTAGACTCGGCTCGAGCAGGACATGGCCACAGCTCGGCCATCAGAGGTGATGAGATGATGAAAGGGGCAGAGCGCCAGCTCTTGGACCGCGCCGTCTGGGACAATAATAACGAACACATGCCGGGCACAACTCAGGGCATCGTCGGATATGATACCATTCTCCAGCCAGGGGACGCTCTTTTCATCCCGACCGGATGGTGGCATAGTATCAAGGGTGTTGGTCAGGGAATCACTGCTTCCGTCAGTATACCAAAAAACACATGCAATATAAACTGAAACCAATGGTTAATATCTAACCTCCAACAGGTCAACTGGTGGTTCCGGTGAAGCCAAACAAAGGAAAAGAAAACGAAAATCTAATTTTTGCTATGCAGCGAGGATAAGAATATGCATTGTAAATTGGGTCTATTCGCTATACAATATACCGGCCCTTTACAATCGACAGAAAGCGTCAGTTAGCCGGACCGGAAAAAAGAGGGGGTATCTCCTTTTAAAATATGAAGTTCAAAATCTTCTCAAACAGGTTCCTATGAGTCAAAGTCATTAGAAACTCATGTACCACATCCACATCGAGAACTAGAGCACATCAACGGAAAAAAAAAAAAAAAAAAAAAAAAAAAAAAAGCGTCTTACCCTGGAGGCGTCGGTACATAGTTCCGAGTATACACCTCGATTTCCTCCACGCCATCAATCAAATCTACCTCCTCAGGCTTCAAAAACTTGGTGCGCTTGAACCACTTCCATCCCAAGAATATCAATGGGCATACAGCAATCATTGTATAGGAGAAGAGGAAAGTTGGTAGGCTCCAATTTCCGGGCAAGAACACCGGGTATCCCCCAACAAAAACCATGACAAAAGGACCAATAAAGGCATAATATGAAAGATAAGGCTGGAATCGACTCTTGAACGGCAGTGAATCTCTCGAGATACCCTGTGCCTTCAGTGCCTTGTAGAACCGCATATACGTGAATGTTATGGCGGAGAAGTTGAGCAGCTGCGATGCCGTGACGAGGTTGACGAACCACTGCAGTACGACAGAGGCGCTGTTTGATACTTGTAGGAAGCTCAACAGTGCAATGAGCAGTACAATGCCCACACAGTAGATAGGAACCCCGTTCTTCGCGCAGCGGGTGAAGATGCGAGGTGCTTTGCCTTCGAGAGCTAGGCCATAGAGGCACCGGCTGGCACAGTAGACGTAGCTGTTTCCGGCACTGAAAGCTGCAGACAGGACCATGGCATTGACAATGTCTGGAAGTACACGGATCTGCAGTCTGCGCATGGAGATGACATACGGCGATGCAGTGGCACCTGGTAGATCCTTAAGAAATGCATCTTGCATCGTCTTGTCGTTGAAAGGCACATTCACACCAATGGCCAGGCTCCCGAGCATGAAGAATGCAGTCAGTCTGTAGAACACAGCCTTGTAAGCCTTTGGCATCGACACCCTCGGGTTTTCTGCCTCCCCAGCTGCCATGGAGACATAGTCAGGTCCTGCAATTGTAAAACTAGCGAGGATCAAACACTGGAGAAATCCTAGCCATAGACCAAGGCTGCCTGTCTTGTAAGTAGTAGTGAACGCTCCAGGATCCCTCCAGTATCGAAACCCATATCGATCCCCTAAGGGGTTCCCGCCAATCATGGTGACAAATGTATAGCATAGCACACCGACGATGAGTACGACCTTTCCTAGTGATAGCCAGAATTCTGACTCTCCATACCATTGGACAGCAAAGACATTGAACGCTCTGGTCGATCAAGGAGTTGTCAGTAACCTTCGTACCTTGAGGGAAGGAAGGGGGGGGGGGGGGGGGGGGGGGGGGGGGGGAAGGGGTTTAATCGATATACGCATAAAGCAACAACGGGACTGTGCACGTACGCATAAAGAACTATGACAATGGTTATGATGGCTGCGGCCGGCACAGCATCGCTCCAATAATGAATGATGAAATTGCAAGCCACGATCTCGAAGGGAACCAGGGCGGCCTCGAAGATGAAGAAGTTCCATCCAACGGCAACTCCGAAAGCCTCATCAACGAAACGGCCTGCAAATCTCACGAAGGGCGAAGATATAGGTAAATACGTTACCATTTCCGCCGTGCCTACAGAATCCCAAGGGTAGAGAATTAGCTATTTACATGCTGCATGGGGGCATGGGTGCTTGTTGGCAGAAGAGGGCAGGCTTGTGACATTGTCGAACAGGATGGCTGATAGTAGTTTCCGAGGGTTCTTACACATAGTAATGGCCAAGATGAAAGTGCACCTATTAACCGTATAAGAGTCAAACGTTTCCATGATAAAAAAAAAAAAAAAAGGAAAGAAAAGAGAAAGGAAAAGAAGAAGAGCAACAATGCGCAGGAGATAAAATCGGACGCAAATAAGGAATTAAGGGAAGTCATGGTGGGCAATGTTTTCGTCCTCGAAAATGGCTAGAAGTCTCTGAAGACATGTTCAATGAACCAAGAATGTTCAGGTTCACATAGTCATAGCTAATTGTTCCCATGCAATGCTATTCCCATAGAAGATGGCGGTCATTCCTGGTGTTCCGTTCGAGGTATTGCACCCAGCACAGAGGGAGAAGCACCATCTGTCTCCATACATATTTCGATGTCTTTGAATGGGTATAGATCTCACAAAAGGCACAGCAGACAGAGTACAGGGAATGTGTCTTGTCAACGAACAGAGTAGAAACAACGTCGTCCAAAGGTGTATGTAGGGGGTGTAGAGGGATGCACAGTGCTGGGGAAACATACCACCAAGAAAACGCGATAAATAGACTTGCAGGCCCACCGCTAAGCAAACCCTTGCCGATTTGAACAAAAAGAGCAGTGCCGATAGTCCCTCCGATTCCTATCAATTGAATATGTCGAGCCTTGAGATTGCGGTGGGTGTGGTCAGCACTGATCTTTTCCGGCCCTGGGACTTCTTCGTCGACACGTTGCCCATATGCGGGAGGTTCATCAGGGCCCTTTTCCCTTCTCTCCGCGGACTCCTTTCGCCGGGACATGGCCCCCATAGTGCCTACGTCGCAGACTATCTGCGGGAGGCTCAAGGCAAGAATAAGACGGAGTTATAGGGAAACTTGGGAGAGAGAATGATCATAAAGCTCAACGACGCACAAGTGGAGCTTCATATAGTTATTATATTTAAACGAAACAAATAATAGACTAAGGGAAGTCCATGGCCCGGTGATAAAAAAAAAAAAAAAAATATTGCTGCATACCCATGCAGCCCAGTCTCTTGGAGAGTAATGCAGCAAGTCAAAGAGATAATTTGACCCGTGAGATCCACCTCGGGAAAGAGCTGTGAAAAATGTTGCGTCCACAAAGCAAGCACACATCAACCCAGTAAAAACGAGGAGAATCAGGGATTTTCCTCTCACGGCAAGCAGAGCTTAACATGGGAAAAAGGCTATCGGCTTTGCCACCCTCAGCTAACTCAGGCACACTTGCTTAGTTACTTAATTAGTTACCTTTGGCCGAGCCCTTGCATGTGGCCGACGGACCCATAGCGTTTGAGGGGTCCCATTTGAAAAAAGGTGTTTATCCCCTTGACCTTGGGCGCTAAGCCGCGGTCAAGAAACGAAACAATGCATTATTGCGAGCAGACAGCAATGGTAGCCTCTCTCTGTTGTTGGTTTGTCAATGGCAAAGGAGGTATTGGTCAGTTCGTGGTGTTGCATTGCTGTGAGGACGGGCTGAACCTTAAACTAATGGCGACAAGGAATCAGAAGAGAACAGCTCACCAGGCTTGATCCTGGAGAAGTCGGCTGCATGGGCAGACTGTGTCTTGATCATTATATGAGAATTTTGATCGTCAGGCCGCTATTTAGGCCGGAATCCATGGAATATAGACTGATGTCTGCCTTGTGATACCTCCAACCCGGGGGTCTTTCGTCCAAGGATGACGATACCAGGGGCCATTTTTACCTAGATGAAGCTGTTAGCATAGCACAAGTAGCCAGCTAGTATGGCCCTTCGAGCATTGTTACCGAAGTGTAGTAGGTGTAGATATCAAGTCATAGCGATAGTCAAATAACAGCAACCACTCCCCTCTGTAACGTCCGGAGCCTCAGACTAAAACACAGATAGCTGCGGATGGAGTGTATGGTATCTGGTTTGCCCTCTCCATGCTATTCCCTAGCAAAGAGTTGTTCATAGTGGCGACGATGACGATCGACAAGTAGAGTAACAGAGAGGCTGTTAGAGCGCCTGACAGTGGTTATTGTTGGTGATTATGATGATGACGATGCGGGGCTTCTAACTATTGCTTCTGCTCCCCGCCAAACTTCAACCTCGGAAGCTGAACATCGCCTAATATTCAACCATTTCAACGCCGTCCGGAGAACAACTTTTGATAGCCATCTAAAGGGAAAAGAAGAAGAAGAAGAAGAAGAAGAAGAAGAAGAACAGGCACTCACATACTCACTGATTAACATGGCTGACCCAAAGAGCATCATGTCTCCCGTGGCCACGAACCTCAACCCACCAAAGAACGACCCTATCTCGCTCGCAGACCTAGCAAAATCAGACGGTAAGCCAGCCAGTATCTTCTTGAGGCCGCCTGATTTGTGCCTATATATATATTATTGCCGCTCGTTTCGCTGACTTCTTGTTTGATTCGCGCCAGGCTCTGATCCCAGCCGTCCTATCCTCGTTGCCATCAAGGGAGACGTCTTCGATGTCTCTGGAAACTCGGCATATGCTAAGGGAGGGAACTATAACGGTGAGCACTGGATGGGACGGTGATTAACTTCATATACTGATGGTTATATGTAGTATTTGCTGGCAAGGATTCCTCCAGAGCCCTCGCAAAGTCTTCCCTGAAGCCAGAGGACTGTGTTCCCCAGTGGAGTGATCTGGGAGACAAGGAAAAGGGCGTCCTAGAAGACTGGCACAAGTTCTTCAGCAAGAGATATAACATCGTAGGAAAGGTTGCGGGAGCAACTAACCTATAGGATCTATATTTCTAATGAACTTCCTCCTTTTCTTCCCTGGTTCAGCTCTATGCAATGCACATGACGGTATTAAACATTCTAGTCTATAGGTTTTTCCACTGTATATCTATCCTAAATAACGACGAAACATGCCTTTTTTTTTTTTCCGGTTGATATGAATAAGACAGCGCTCTCATAACACTCGCTAAATATCAGCAAAGGTTCAATATTCATTTCCTGTTCCTTCTTAGCATCCGCTTTCTAGCAATGATTCTATTCCGCTTAGCAATGTCATTGTTCTTCTCCGTGGACGAGACCTTCTCTGGGGCCTTTCCAGCTTTCTGTTCACATTTTCCTGCTGGACTTTTGCCATTCTTCGCCCCCTTGGAATTACTCTTGGAGCCTTTGCCTGCCCTTGGCCTCTCGCTCTGCTTCTCATCCTTTTCATCACGGCGGCGCTTTATACCGCGCTGAGGGCCTTCCTCCCTGTTAGCTTCTGTACCAGCTTTTCGGATATTCATTTCTCGTTCTCGCCTTCGGTTGACAACCTGGGCGTTTTCAAGGGCAAATTCCACAATGAGACGCTTCTTTCTATCCGCCGGGTCAGCATTGGGTGTAGACGCAGACGCCTCAATGGCATGGCCGTTCAACCATCTGAGCCCCATTAAACTGTTTCTGTGGGTAGCGTATTCGATGAAGCCGTAGCCCCTACTCCTGCCCGCACCAGACTTTTCGCTCATCTTCGAGCCATCCTTGCCCTCGAAAACAACTTTTGCCTGTTTAACAATGCCCTTTTTCTGGGCCTTGCGCAGGTAATCGGCCTCTTTCATCAAGGCAGCGCTTCGACGAGACTCTTCCCAGGATATTGGCTTACGAAGGCCGTTCTTGACATCCTTTGCAAAACCGACCACGGCCTCACGTGCAAGTGCTTTGAGGGCTTTGGAATCAATGTGTCGTGTCAAGTTGCGGACAGAGAGTCGGGTAAGACTGACGTGCAGCATAGGATTGTTCTTGACAAGCTTTTGACGCTGTTTGGCACTGGCTTCTCTCATTCTTCTCTCTGTTTCAGAGAGTTTCGCATATAACGGG